AGACTCAAAGTCAACTATACCTTATCATTAACGAGTAGGGAGGCATAACCTTTCACGTACATGAAACTCTGGGAGATCCAGTGAATATGAGTGATAATACCATGAGGGGGAATGTGAACAGAAGGAGCTAGAGGTGGTGGTGACAAGCATGATGGATGAGATTTCACAGTGTGATGTGTGGCAGTGAGTGAAGATGTGGTGAGTTGGGGCTCACCTGTGAGAGCTAAGTATGCAACATCCAGGGGAAATGATGAATACTTGGGACAAGACATACAGAGAGAGATCGCTGGTTTTGAGTCATTGAATACTGCCATACCTAAAAGTCTTGGGAGTGTATAAATTCATACAGGGAGAGTGTATTCAGAGAGAAAAGAAACAGATAGGAACATGACTTTGAAAAATCTTAACATTTACTGTCTAGTTGCAGAGAAAGAAGCAGAAAAAGATCAAGATAAACAATTAATAGCAATAGGGGATTTATAAAATATAGGATGACACATGCTTTGAAAAGCCAATACAAGGATACATGCTTTTTTTATATTTCCCACAGACTTGCTGCACCCAGGTACGGGGAAAGCGCCTGGCAAATAACCTTGAAACAGTTCCGCCTGCCAATCAGTCAGCTGCAGCAAGGAGCTCAGAGGAATTAAATGGCTCACACAGGGAAGGCAGCAGTCTTGTTAAGTTGGGCTCCTAAGTGACCCCTGACTGACATCCCTCCAGCTTGGGAAGTCTTTGCCTTCCACGGTGCAGACATTGAAATCTAAAGAGCAGCCTGTCTCTTTGGAGTCACGAGGACAAAACCTACAAGAAAAGTGAACTTTGAATGTTAAGCTCGAGGGAGCTAGCACAGATGATCCTTGCTGCTCCCTGAGATACTCACTCTGGTCAGCTGAGGCGCAGGTGTGGGACAGGGTCACAGGTCCACTTAGGTAAAGCTGTAAGGTTCCAAATCCAAGGCAAGATGGGGGCTACCGGAGCTGGGAAGCTCAGAAAGTCAGGTGTTAAGGGAAACCTCCTGTGCTAGTGGTTTCTGGAGTGAGACTGCTCCGGTGAAGAGATCATTACCTGTGCAATAGCAAGGCCTGAACGATGGTGGAGTGGAGTGTCAGGGGACCAAAGCACAATTCAAGACAAAAAAAACTTTGATGTTTCCTCCTGTGACTCCCTCTCTGGAGCCCATGGGGTGACAATGACTGCTCCATGTGGTAGAAGTGACTGTAACATTATAAAAACGAAGGGAGCATGATACTCAAGTGACAGACAGAAGGGAGGAGAAGGGTCTGTGAGTGGAGGGTGTTGTTGGAGACACCAGGAAGTGGGTGGTCTCCAGAACTGGGGTGGAGTCCTGGCTGTTTTGGGGACCTCACTGAATATCCATCAGCTCTGCCTCACACTGGAGGAGGAACTCAGTGGGACATGTGACACAGTGGCTGCCTTGAACCAACAGGGGACGGCGTATATTCCTCTCGTCGTCAGAAGGTGTCAGCCTAAGTAAGGCCAACAACACCTCAGGCGGAAACACTGCCCTTAGAAAACGCACATTGAGGGACCACGAGATTTCCCTTTAGATGGAGAATTAGACCCAAAAGCAGCAATGACAGACTGCAGGGACAACGAATGATGAGGGAGGAAAACAGCAGCCACCATCTCATTTACCATATTTTTCTGATTGCTTTCCCCTGATCCTCATGAATTAGCCCAATATTTCATTGAGAGTTTGGATTCTGTCTTGGTTTCCTGGTTTCATGGCCAAGTCAGCCAGAGACCTAGAGGGTAATAACAGCAATTTCAGCCATTATTTCCATATGCCTCTGTGTAACACGCACGCGTACACACACACACACACACACACACACACACACACACACACACACACCCCAAGGTGAGGACTCCTCTGGCCTGGTGATGATGGCTGGAGTTTCATCTCCTAGAGATTTGTTGCTGCCAGGAATATGAATTATCTGGTTTTCTTAAGATGCGTGGCTTCTTCTAATTCTCTCTATCCCCTTCTTTTGGATTGGTTTTTGGCTATAATCTGCCTCTCTATGTTTCTCAGGATAAACTAGTTTCTGCTCAGATAGCATACTGCCCTTAAAGTCTAACTAGATACCTATTTATTGCTCCCATGGAAAGCCCATTGGCTGGGAACTACAAGAGCCTGCACTGTCTGGAATGCAGCGACAGAGAGAAAGAACTATGTGAGTTGGTGCACTGACATTCGTGGGTGTCTTCCCTGAAGTTACATGTGGCTGTCTCTTAATTTTGTGTTCATTAGTCAAAGGGCAAGTCCTGTGGCTTGAAGTCTAGCAGGGTGGTAGAAAGCTAGCAGATGTCTGGAAGGGAAACTGGAAAACTCACTGATCACCTCAACTGCTCTGTCGGGCATCACTCTAGCTTCAGCACAGGAACATGGCCTGAGATCTGTTGAGGAGTGGAGTTTTTGCTACTCTGGTTTTTCTCTCCACCTTTGTGCATACTGGCTACATGATTATTGCCTGCTGCAAATTGTAGGAATCTTCTGTCCTTGTGCTCTGCCCACTACAGCAAAGGTTTCTAAGCTCACAGCAGAAAACAGTGTCTGTTGCAGATACAGTGCACACGAAGCTGGTAAGACCTTCTAGGTCAGCTTTTGGATGCAGTTCTGATCCTTAAAGTTTTGGACAGACTTCCACCTCTTTTGCCTTCCTTTCCTTCTTTCCTAGAAGGGCCTCTCATATCTTAAATCCTTGTTATTAATTATAAAAAAAGCCAAGGAGGTTTGTGTAAAACATTAGTGTAGGAAGCCTATGATATGCAGAAGAATAAACAGAGTGAGGAAGAGGAGGAGACCTCTAGCGAGACAGGGGGACGATGCGTGCTGTTCTCACCGGTGGCAACACATTGTGACCAATAGTCACATGGAGGAGAATCTGAGTTGCTGGTCTACTTGCCATGGGCCAGGGCTTTCACAATGTGCTCCCTGCACTGGCAACACCCACATCACCTGGGGACCAGTCTGAAGTGTATATTCTTAGGTCCCACTCGACACATACTGTGATGGTTCAATGTATGTGTCAACGTGACCAGTTCACGGAGTACCCAGAATTTTGTTAATTATTGTTCTGGTTGTGTCTATCACATATCTAAATGAGACTGACATTTGAATTGAATTGCAAGCGTATTGTTCTTGCAATCTACTGGGCATTCGGATAGTATGAAAGGGTAAGGAAGAATATACTTCATGTCTGAATGTATAAGCTGGTATGTTAGTCTTCTCTTAAACTTGAACTGTGATATAACCTTGGGTTGTCTTTATTCTTTGGCTTTTGAATGTGGATGAGAACTATTCCACCAGCTCTTTGTGATCTCCAGTTTGCAGAGAGATTATGAGATTCATCCATCTCTTTCATCATGTGACTCTTAGATCAAATCTCTTTCTCTGTAAGCATATACCCAATTTGTTCTATTTCTCTAGAGAACCCTAATACATCTACTGGTTCAGATACTCTGGGGATTGTATCCAGAGATCTCCATTTTACCAAGCTCTGTTTTGATATTAAACATTGAGAACAGGTGAAGGAAAGAAAAGACATTGACTTGGATGTCCCTTATGAGGGTTTACATTCAGAAACGTGGCAATTTCTCAAATGTGTCTGTCTGTATGACACAAAAGGAAAGGTTTTCTAGACCACAGGCAAGGTAAGGCTCGGAGATGGCCTGAAAAGGTACGTTTCGAAAGAGATGCACAAAGTAAGAGTGAGAATTGGTTAAGGATGCTATGATTCTTCTCTCTGAAAATCCTCTCTATTTAACTTTTAGAAGAATATATTGATAAAAAGTCCAGCATCCTATTGTCAAGATATGTTTAACAGCTTTATCGAAAGTCCATCTTTTATTCGGGAGTAGAGATGTATATTGCAATGTATTTTCACTTCTCAGTATGCTAGTCTCTATTATACAGTTCCTCTAGATGAACATATGTACATACCTGTTTACATATATGTATATATGTATGTATATATGTGTATATGTATATATGTATATCTGTGTTTTGCATGAAGGTTGCTTTATGTCAGTGAGAATATATGATATTTGTCCTTCTGGGGTTGGCTATTTCACTGGCCATAATGGTCTCTAGTTGGGATCATTTGTTGCAAATGATCGATTGTCTATACCTACAATGTCATTATATACTTAAATAGCAGAATGATGGACTTGTGACTGTTGTCAAAGGATTATACTATTATAATAATATAGGGGAAAGCAGTGGGGGGGAGTGATAAATGGGGAGGAAGGCAGGGGAATGCCCTGAGCCTATGGAACTGTATCATAAAACAGAAAAATGAAGTAATAACAAAGAAGACTATATTTTCTCTGCTCAGACTTTGAGGAGCCCAACTGGAATGTTAGGGATGATACGCTGGGTACTTTAAAGTGTTTTGATCTCTGCTGCATCTCGTTGACTTTCCTCATGGCATTGACCATCATTATAGGGACCAACTGCGGCAAATGCAAATCAACATCCAAGGAATTGCCGGTGTTTTGCTTTTGGCTTCTTCTTTTTTCTTTTACGCTCACCATAGAATATACTGGCAGGACTGGCAGGGGCTCCACCGGGCCATTTTGACCTGGAAATGTGAGAAAGTTATCATTCTCTACAGTGACATTTGACAAAAAGAAGACAAATTCTTGGTCTCATATTATGGGGGTCATTTGGGGAGAACTGTGTGGGTCTTAGGAAGTCTGTGTTGGACTCAAGACGCCACTGTTTCATGTAGTTATCATAGTACTACAAGGTGGCCCTCACGTTTTCTTACATAGCTTACTCTCTGCAGGCACTACCTCTGTATCACAAGTTCAATCCAAAAATAAACTGCCCCAAAGTAAGCTTGGTCTTTTTTTTTTTTTATCAAAAACTATTTTATTAGAAATGAGCTATGTCGGGCCCGGCGCGGTGGTGCAAGTGGTTAAGGTCCTCACCTTGCATGCCTGGGATCCCATATGGGTGCCGGTTCTAATCCTGGCAGCCCCGCTTCCCATCCAGCTCCCTGCCTGTGGCCCGGGAAAGCAGTCGAGGACAGCCCAAAGCTTTGGGACCCTGCACCCGCGTGGGAGGCTCGGAAGAGGCTCCTGGCTTCGGACCGGCATAGTATCGGCCGTTGCACTCACTTGGGGAGTGAATCATCGGACGGAAGATCTTCCTCTGTCTCTCATCTCTGTATATCTGCCTTTCCAATAAAAAAATAATAAAAATAAATCTTAAAAAAAAAAGAAATGAGCTATGTCATCACTTGCTCTGAAAACACGATTACACTTTACTTTTTATAACTTGACAAAGATTTCACAAAATTATCTGCAGATTATTTGAACAGTTGTTCACCAGGTTTCAATCTTGCACAAACATTACTTGTTTTATTTTTTAAATTTTTATTTATTTTTTATTTTTAAAAATGATTTATTTCATTTATTTCTAAGAAAGAGTAATATAGACAGGAGGAGAGACAGAGAAACAGAGAGCGAGCTTCCATCTGTTGGTTCACTCTCCCAATGTCCAAAACGACAGAACTGGACATGGAGCCGGGATCCTGGGTCCTGGATCTTGAAGCATGGAGCCTGGAGCCTGGAACCTGGAACCTGGAGCCCAGAAGTTACTTTGTGTCTCCCATGTGGCATTTGGGTTGTCTTCTGCTGCTTTCCTAGGTGTATTAACAGGGAACTGCATAGGAAGTGGAACAGGCAGGTCTTAAACGGGTATCTGAAAGGGCTTTAGGCATCTCAGGCAGAAAGCCTTGGTCTTAAACTCTGTTTTTGTTGGAGAATTCTTACCTTTTGGCCCTCATCCATGACCCTTAGCCAAGTGGATATGTCCCTTCCCTGCCACATTTCTGTCTATTTTGGTGAAAACCTTGTTTGAGAAAAAATAATGGCTCAATTTATTTTACGTAAGCTCTTTTATAACAGCTTTGAAAGAATATTTGAATACTATAGAGAGTTTTCATATACTTTAGATGTACATTCTCCTGTTACTAATTGTTCCCATTAGTGTGGTGCATTTGTTACCACAAATGAACTGAAAGTGATGTGTTGCTACTAACTGAACCCACACTTTATTCAACTGTCCTTAGATTTTAATCCAATGCTTTTGCTGTTGTCGTTCTAGGAGCTCAACCAAGATACAGTACATTTACTAGTCAGGCCATTTTGGACTCCGTCAGAGTTCTTTATCGCATTTATCTTTCTCCTGCTTTTCATGCTATGCTCTTCAGAGGGAAGTCATCTTGTACAACCTATATGGAAGCACAGGGCATTCTTCTTCATCTCCTTGTACGCAGAGTAAAGAAATTATTTGAAATTCTCTTGCACAGAAAATTGATCTATCTATTCACTTACCTATTCATCTAATCATTCATTTATATCACCATGAATTCATGAATGCTTTTTAGATTTTGGTTTATAATCCAGTACTACTACTTTTTTTGCATAAGCCATTTCTTTTTTGGCCATTGGGATCTCTGTCCTTTCGATGTAAGTCTCTCATTGTGTGTTAGAGTATTGTGTGACACTGGAAGTTACCCCAGTTTAATCTTGTAAACTTGTTGCCCTTTTTTTTTCATTTGAAAGTTGCATTAGAAATCAAGATGTGGGTGCTAACAGAGCTCTGAACCCTTCGTTATTTTTTTTTAAATTCTCTTATGTCACTCCTCAAATTGAGTCATCTTTGCTGTTTGCTTTAACTCAGTCTGTCATATCATCCATTCTTTCCGTGGAGGGAGTGAAGGTTTCAGCTGATTTTCATCTGTTTTGGGACCACTTAAAATCTTACACTCAAATTTACTGCATTTCTCTAGGAGTATGCTGGATCAGATGGGACAGATGTACCTGACCGTGGAAATCACTGGTGTTGCTGAATTCTGTATCACACAGAATTAGCTGGCTATAAGGAATGATGAAATGGCCTATTGAAAAATCAGTTAAGGTGACAGTTTGAAGTTGGAGCACTGGTAACACCATGCTTCAAGGTCAAAGAACTGAGGGGTGCAAGCTAATTTAACATTCTCACAATCATTTTGAGTCATATGTGGAATTTGTCTTTTCCATCTATGCATTCTTTTTGGATTGGAGGTTCTGTTTCCTGGTGGGGCAGGGTAGAGAGAGTGTAGTGAGAAAATAGGTAAGGATTTCCACTGACAGCTAAGTGTCACTGAACACGTGAGGATGCCTTGTGCTGTTCTCCCACCTTGTAATTGCAGTAAATGTGACTTTCTGAGGATAAGACAATCAAAAAATAAAACTTCCCAGCAAAAGCCCCGACAGGAAAACAGATTTATCAAAGTTCAGGCTGAGAGTAAGGAATATTTGGATAGTGGCAATAGGAGATAAAGAATACAAGTTATGGATACTTAGTGACAGCAACAAAGACTGTGGTCTCTTCCACTTGCTATTTGAGATTGAGTGTTTTGTAGAGACTGAGTTCACTACCACCCCGAAGGCTCTGAGATGGCGTGAATTTATGAAGGATATGAATAGATGCAAGTCACTCGCGGGTGGGTGATGTGAGTATTCCTTGCTAAATTGCTCTTGTGTGACTGCCAGCTCTGTACTTCATCCTTTCTGCCCCAGGAATTTTCTATTATTGTTTTGTGACATGCTGGAACCAGTCAGCTCAGTCTATTTAACCCTGGAATTGTTCTCTGAGTTAACATCCCTGAGGGTAAGGAGTGGTGGTGGTGGCAATTATTAACCACTTCGGCATCGGAACCCTATTACATTTCCAGTTGATAATGATGTCAATTGCATGTTTCAGAAAATTCCAGTAACATGAAGCTTCTGTGACTCACAAAGGAGACCTTGATATCCTGTGCTTATATTTTACCTCTCACCCTGCTTCATTCTGCCAGGGTTGTTATTCTTCTCTTTTGATTTACCTACCACGCAAACTGCCTTCTCAGATGTCCTTGTGTCAATTTCTGCTCTTGTGACAATCCAAATTAAAATTGATGGATGGAGGCCAAGCATAGTGGCCTAGAGGCTAAATCCTTGTCTTGCATATACCAGGATTGCATATACGCACCATCCAGCTCTCTACTTGTGGCCTGGGAAAGCAGTAGAGGGTGGTCCAAAAGCTTAGGATCCTGCAACTGCATAGGAAACCCAGAAGAAGCTCCTGGCTCCTGGCTTCAGATTTGTTCAGTTCCACTCATTGTGGCCACTTAGCGAATGAACCAGCAGATGGAAGATATTCCTCTCTTTGTAAAAATCTGCCTTTCCAATAAAGTAAATAAATTTTTAAAAACACCTCACAATGGATGGGTTTACAGTGTATTAGGGAAGCGAAGGAGACAAATTTGTGAGTAGAGGACTTTGTTATTTCTATGAGAAATCTCACTGTATCTCAGGCACTGCTCTATTTGTCTTTCAAAATCTGTAGCCAGTGCTTTAAAAAAAATTTCTCTTCCTTTTCCTTCTCTACAAATTATCATTAAGCATAAACTGAAAGTCAAGAACTGTATGATAAAATATGGGGAAACACAGAGTTATGACACTAATGAGCTTATGAAATCTTGGTAAAATGAAGAAGTCTATTGGATACCATATGTATGTGTATACACATGCGTGCACAGTGTGTGAGCATGTACTACATGCACTGGGATCTGGTAGGGATGGTGGGGAATAAAAGGAACCGTAGGAGATGTGATTTTCTCCCATCTGATCTTGGGTTCATCGTTAAGGGCTCAGTATGAGCCCTGGGCACTTGTGTGACAGCAAGAATTACTTGACTGTTACTGAATTGCTCTCACCAGAAAGATTAACCATTGACACCTATATGAGCTAGGTATTCCCTGTGACCCCAGATGAGAGACCTAAGACCTGACAGTTTTCTCTACCTTCCAAGCAGGCTCACTGCAATCCACTACCCTTATCCGTATCACTTTGTTTTATTATCCTAAAAAAATGACTATTACGTGCAATCATGAGCTGCTGACAAATAAACCAACAAGGAATTTATCTTTATTCTTATGGATTCTTCAGAGTCAGCAATTGATGTGTAATCAACCAACAGCATTAAGAAGTAGGGTCAAAGGCGCTGACTTCTATCAAGTGTAAGGAAGCATTTGATTAGCTGAAGGCACTTCTTCTGGCTCTGCTCCTTCTTTAAGGCAGGCACACGTGAAGATCCACACACATTTACTAGAGCATCCTTATGAGTCCACACATAACACATTAACATGCACATATCGAAGCACAGATATACACACTGTATAGTGGTGTGAGCACGTATGCAGTCCTTTAGCTTGTAACTTACAAGTCATATAATATAACTTGCTGGGTGATATGAAGATGAAAGAAATAGTGCTTATAAAAGACAGGTAATGCAGAAGCCTGGTGCCGTGGCCTAGTGGCTAAAGTCCTTGCCATGCATGAGTCAGGATCCAATGTGGGTGCTGCTTCGTGTCCCAGCTGTTCCACTTCCATCCAGAGTCCTGATTGTGGCCTGGGAAAGCAGTCAAAGATGGCCTAAAACCTTGCGTGGGAGACTCAGAGGAAGCTCCTGGCTCCTGGCTTCCTATCTGCTCAGCTCCTGCCATTGTGGCCCCTTGGGGAGCGAACCAGTGGACAGAAGATCTTTCTGTTTCTCCTTCTTTCTGTACATCTGCCTTTTGAATAAAAATAATAAAGAAATCTTTAATAAAAAGACATGTAATGCAAAAAGTGATAAGCACTATATCAACTGAAATAAAATGTGTAGTATAAAAAGTGTATAGAGAAAGGTGGAACTTGAAAGAAATAGATCAAATAAACTAACAAAAGGAATAACATTTCTAACAACAAAGAATTCATAAGTGGAGAACATCAGTATCCATGGAACCTGATTTTGTCTTCTTTCTTCCCTTCCCCCAACCCCTCATTCCATTCATAACACGTTTTGCACATCATCAATCTATTTCCTGCAAATGAGGAAGTCATTTCTACCTTATGTCTTTCTCTTCTTATTTCCCTTTTGTTCCCTAGCCTGCTTTGCTGCATCCTACTTTCCCCACGTGCCATGTTAGGTGTCTGATGTGCTTTCAGAAGGATTCCCCAGCTTGTAACTAGTGGAGCCATTCTGCTTTCGGGATTCTCATCTTCCTTGCGACCTGCACCACCACCCACAGGACACATGTTACGTACCTGATTGAAGAAACATGCAAGGAAATAGGGAAGGTTCCATCAATTAGGCTGTAAGAATATGGAAGGCCAGATCTTACTCTTCTTGGCCTCTTCTATGCTGAATATTCATGCATAATTGGAGCTTCACAAATGATCTATTTTGCTATTGAAGATGGTGATGCCTTTAAGAGATATTGTGCTGTTCATAATCCCCTTTGAAACCAAAAAAACATCTCCATGGAGATGATTGGAGAGCACATGTCTACATTATTGCCTGCAATTGATGTAATAACATTTCCTAGTTTTATATGCTACTTAATATGATTTCTCTCATCTCACATACTATCTATAACAAGAACATTAATAACAGGCTCTACAAACATCTCCGTGAAGAAGGGAAAAAAAAAGTTATATTATTCCTACTGGACAGATGATAACTAACACTTAATGAGAGTTTACTGTATTATTACAGGCACCACTTTAAATGTTTTTCACATGGAAACTCGTTTACTCTAACAATTTTATGAAGTCAGTACTACTGTTATGAGTTTTATTTCAAGAAGTGAAGAAAGATGCAGAAGCAAGGCTGTAATTTGTACACAAGTCATCATATGTCTCCTTTGTTAGAGGATCAAGAACCCTTTCCCTTTGCTATTTTGTTTCCTTAATTGTCCTTGTGGAAGGGGCATAAGGCTTTGTGCGCTGGCATTACTGCTGAAGCCAATAAAATGTGAGTGGAAGATAGAATAGCTCCGTTTGAGTCAAATGCTTTGGGAGGTATTAGCTAGATGTCCAGTGCCTTGTAATAGATCTGCCATCAGGCCACATTACCTATTTCAGCTAAATCTTTGAAGGAGGAAATGTGTAAAACTGAACTATTGAACCATACAGCTGCATTTGATCTGTATCTGTGATGCATCGTGGCTGAGACACATCCTTCTTGTGGTTAGTCACGGAGACCTTTTGTTGTATCGCATGAACAAGTAAAAATAAGTTGGGTAACAGAAAAAGTAACTTGCCCAAGTTTTATATGGTGGCAAATCTAGGTTTCAGCAGAACTTTGGCACATGGCTGGCCTGAGGTCTGGTTCCGCTTTTTATTCAGTTTTCTGGAAAAAATGTACACCCTTGGAAGAAGCAAGTGATAGCCCGAGCAGCTGGGTCCCTGATGCTTGTGTGGGAGACCTCTATTTAGTTCTTGGTTGCGGGCTTTGGTTTGACCCAACTGCTGCTATACATTGTAGACACCTGGGGAGTGAAACAATGCATGGAAAATCTCTCTCTCTCTCTCTCTTGTTCTCTGTCTCTCTCTCCTTTTTCTTCCTTCTCTCCCTCCCTCTCTTTCTGTCTATCTCTTTCCCTCCATCCTCTTTCTCAGTTAAAATAAATCATTTAGGGCCAGGCGCTGTGGCCTTGTAGCTAAAGTTTTTGCCTTGAGTGCGCCGGGATCCCATATGGGCGCCGGTTCTATCCCGGCAGCCCCGCTTCCTTTCCAGCTCCCTGCCTGTGGCCCAGGAAAGCAGTCCAGGATGGCCCAAAGCCCTGGGACCATGCACCTGCATGAGAGACCCAGAAGAGGTTCCTGGCTTCAGATTGGCACAGTACCAGCTGTTGTGGTCACTTGGGGAGTGAATCATCGGATGGAAGATTTTTCTTTGTCTCTCCTGCTCTCTGTATATCTGACTTGTCAATAAAAATCTTTTTAAAAAATCATTTATAAATCAAATTAAAAACTGAGCCAATCTGGCTAGCAGAGTCATCTATTGACCATATATATGTATATATGTGATGTGATCCACTTAACTTATCTAAATCATGTCTAACATACCCTACCAAGTTTGGATGAGAAACCTGTTCTAGCAGCTCCTTCCTATGGCCTAGTCAAGATTCTGGTTTGAAGAGTTACGCTGTTGTGTCTGACAGGTAGTAACCTACTTCTAGTACACTAGAAAAGTTTCAAAATCACTCCTGTGTTTCATGGCCTGGCTGTAAAATGATTCTCTGAGGTGCAGCTGGAATCGGCTGCACTGCAGTCTTCAGCATTCAGGCTCTGTCTCTGAGGCTGTCCTCCTGCTTGGGGATTATTTATGAGCCAGGAAGGAAGGGGGGCGTGTGCACAGTTATTTGTTTTCTGCGAAGCTGGGGGATTGGAAATGTTTTAGAAACATAACTGGTTGACACAAAGGATAAAACGTTAAACATACAGAACCCAACATGTCCTCTCTTGGGACCCCTGTCTAGCTAACAGCAGGATTCGTGCCGACCGTGTGCTGCAGACTGAATGAGGAAAAAGACAACCCTGTTCAAACAAAGGCAAGAGTACGGTGGTTCTGAAGGCCTTGTACTCAGTGTTGCAAGAGAAAGTGCAGCTGGGCCCTAGCGCGGTGGCGCAAGTGGTTAAAGGTCCTCGCTTTGCACGCCCGGGATCCCCTATGGGCGCCAGTTCTATCCCTGCAGCCCCACTTCCCTTCCAGCTCCCTGCCTGTGGCCTGGGAAAGCAGTCGAGGACGGCCCAAAGCTTTGGGAGCCTGCACCCGCGTGGGAGACCCGGAAGAGGCTCCTGGCTTTGGATCGGCATAGCATCGACCGTTGCGCTCACTTGGGGAGTGAATCATCGGAGGGAAGATCTTCCTGTCTGTCTCCTCTCTGTATATCTGCCTTTCCAATAAAAAAGTAGTAAAAATAAATCAAAAAAAAAAAAAAGAGAAAATGCAGCTGAGTGCTTGTTTGGGTCTACTGCAGAGACAGAATCCGCTTGTGTGGGTGGGAGTGCTTGGGAAATAACTTCAGAGTTGCTCTTGTTTGGTTACTCGTCTACACACCAACACCATGACTTGGAGAAAAATAGATATGCAGAAATACCTACTTACTTATTCCTAAATATAATACCTACACCACCATATACACAAACACAAACATTTGGAATAAAATAGTAGAAAAAATACGATTGCAATGATTGGCTTCAAGATGGTTGATTTCTTCAAGATGCT